ATTAATGTAGTGCACAGACATGCATGTAGACAAAAGACCCATACACATAAAAATAAAATTGGAAAAAAAAATGCTTGTCACTTAAGAAAGAAAGTTCAGGGTTGGATAGATGGCTCAGAGGTTAAGAGTTCTGAGTTCAATTCCCAGCAACCACATGGTGGCTCACAACCATCTGTAACAAGATCTGGTGCTCTCTTCTGGTCTGCAGGCATACTTGCAAGGAACACTGTATACATAATAAAGAAAAAAAGAAAGTTAGTTCAAGGTCATCCATCCTCTAGACCAGCCTAATATACATAAGATCCCATCTCAGATTGCAAAAAATTTTCAAGAATGAAAACTTGAATTTGGATCCTCAGCACCAGGTAAAGGACCAGATGTAGCACACAAATCTGTAAACCCAGAGCTGGGGTAGTGTGATTCTGTCCCACTGTTGGGATAAATCTTGAGCTCCTGATTCAGAGAGACTCTGTTTTCAAATAATAATATTGAGGGGCGGGGGGGGGGGGGGGGGGGGGGGGGGGGGGGGGGGGGGGGGAGGCAGTTAAGAACATGTTCTTGCAGAGAGCACAAGTTCAGTTCCTAGCATCCATGAAAGGCATCTCACAACTACCTGTGACTCAAGCAACAGGGAATGCAAAGCCTCAGGCCACCACCACCTGCACTCAAGTACACATATCCACAAACACACACACACACACACAATTAGAAATAAGAAAAATAAGTTTTAAAAAAGACTGAGATTGATCAAGAAAGATGCCTGGTTCCTTTGGCACCCACACTCACGTGCACACATGTGCATGTACACCCATAAGCACAAGTATATATATACCACACTCACACAATATTTTTAAAAGGGCTTAAAATGTCAAAAGCAACAGTGAAAGGAAGCAGTGGAGATTCTGCTTCTACTTTGAGTGAAAATTTTTTTAAGGTTTACTTATTTATTATGATTTTGCAGTGTTCTGTCTGCATGTATCCCTGCAGGCCAGAAAAGGGCACCAGATCTCATTAGAGATAGTTGTGAGACACCATGTGGTTGCTGGGAATTGAACTAAGGACCTCAGCCAGTGCTCTTAACCATTGAGCCAACTCTCCAGCCCCCCAAATAATGATCAATCTTGAATCTCATACCCGGCAAGATTATTGGTCAATAAGAAGGTGAAATAAAAAAGTACCATGCATGTGTCAGGAAGTTATCAAGAGGATATATTCCAAAGAAAATAAACAAAACGGGGAAAAAAAAGATGATTCAATAAAGAAGAGCAAAGAAAAATTTAAGGATGACATAACAAGACATCCCAAGATAAGAATGTAAATGAACATAGATGAAGATTACCAATCCAGACTGTATTAAAAAGAACTGGTGCTGGAGAGATGGCTCAGCAATTAAGAGCACTGACTGCTCTTCCAGGGACCCAGGTTCAATTCCCAGCACCCACATGGCAGCTCACAACTGTTTGTAACTCCAAGATCTGACACCCTCACACAGACATACATGCAGGCAAACACCAGTGTATAGAAAAAGAAAAATAAATAAACTTAAAAGAAAAAAAAACAGAACAAAAGGGATAGAATTTTTTGGCAAACATTTCTAGTCCCAATACTTGGAAATGAGAGGCAGAAGAATCTTCAGTTCCAGGCCAGCCTGGCTGAATAGTGATACCATCTCAAAAAGTCAAAAGCAAAGAAAATAAAGAGGGTAATGACTTCAGGAAAGAGCTCAAAAAATGAGACCACTCTACTCCAAAAGAATGTATTAATTTCTACATAAACATCAACTGGTTGACAGAAAATTATATCATAATAGTCAATATGGTTCAACTACATTTACTATATTAACAGATGCTAAAGTAAGTATATTGAGAAAAGGGAGGGGTAGTGTAAATTTAGGTGGAGCTGATAATGTAAATACCAAGAAATATTTTACTCTGAGGAAAACTATAGTAAAAATGGGCACACCTTTAATTCCAGCAGTTAGGGAGGCAGAGCAAATTCGAGGCCAGCCTGATTTACAGAGTGATTTCAGGGACAGTCAAAACTACGCACAGAAACCTTGTCTCAAAAAGCAAACAAAGAGAGAAGGAAGGAAGCTAGGCATAGTGATACACATTCTTGATCCAAACACTCTGGGTGGCAAAGACAGGTGGATCGATATTAGTTTAAGGTCTGTGAATTTGTGCTTAGCCTGGTCTACACAGAAAATTCCAGACAGCTAGAACTACACAGTGAGACCAATAGAGACAAATTTAAACCACAGAATTAAAAAAAAAATGGAGGAGTGAAGAGGCAATAAACTAAGGTATTTATCAATCTACAGTGAGGTATCATCTAAAGTATAGAGACTGGCAAAGGTGGCAGTTCTTTTCCACTATCCTATTTTAAAACTGAGGAATTTTAATGGTCACAAAACAAAAAACTTAAGAGACTCTTAACTGTAGATAAATCCAGTCTCTAGTTTGTTCTAATGTAAATAAAGACTGAACTGCTGATAAAGCCAAGGTTTAAAGTCTGGTATAAATATATTACAAACAATCTTATGTCTTCAATCTTGGCCCCACCACTGTAAAGGGGCGCATTACCTAATCAGACAGTAAGGCAACCTCCTCTTCAAGTGATTTTTGCAAGGATAATTATTGAAAGACATCTGATGTAGACAGGGTTGACCCATAATGAATTTTACTACTTTCTGTGAGTCTATTTCTCAGTTAGAAGCCGTCATTCTGACCCCAAGCTGGCTTGTTGGTTACAAAGCTTAAGAGAATGGACACATGGACAACTCAGCACGTGTCCTTGTTCGTGCTGGAAAATCATTCGTGATGAGCATGCAGACTTATCTTTGTATATGAAGGGCAGCATTATTCTTGTTATATGAAGAGGATTATCTCCATTATCCACATTCTGGATTACTTCCAGCTCTCAAGAATTATCCCAATTAGTCTACAGTATTGGGACAGTATCATTTTTTTTCTCATTTAGGTCTACTTTGCAGTGTTGCTAAGGTCTTAAAACAAACAAACAAAAACCCAGAAACTACAATTCATCAGGTCTCATTTCCACATTTTCAATGACCTACTTCACAATCCTTCCAACAAAAGTCCCATCTGTACACCACGGGAAGAGAGAAATCAGCTCAATTCAGCTAAATGAATTGTCATAGCCAACATTTAGATTATTAGTTACACCTAAATTCACAATCCCAACAAAGTACAAAGATAACAAGACTAATAAAGGATTATCCTTTATCAGCAAGTCAGTCATCTAGCCAATCAAAAGTCTTGTCTTTGGTTTTGGTAGCTCAAAGCATCTGCAAATCCAGTTTCAGAGGCTCTAACGCCCTCTTCTGGACTCTGCAAGCACCAAGCAACATCACAATGCACTTACATACATGCAAATGGACACTCATACGCAGAAAACCTAAAATATTTTTAGGAAACAAGTTATTCTGGCCGGGCGGTGATGGTGAACGCCTCTAATCCCAGCACTCGGGAGGCAGAGGAAGACGGATCTCTGAAGAGTTCAGACCAACCTGGTCTACAAGTGCTAGTTCCAGGACAGGCTCCAAAGCCACAGAGAAACCCTGTCTCGAAAAACCAAAAACAAAACAACAACAACAATAAAAACCCCAAACAAACAAAGAAACAAGTTATTCTGAAAACTAATACTGTGCTCTTCCGTGCTTTCATTCATACTAGGAAAAGTTAGCATCTACTTCAAAGTTACTGTAAATCCACTTTACTTTCTCTCAGGCCTTCCTCTTAAAATTAGGTGCCACACAAAACAGTAACCTACCAAGAATAAATTATTTCAGCAAAACTGTAAAGTTAAACCATTCTCAATTTTCTTTCAAATTTTGGACTTTAAAATGGGAGGGTGGAAGTCAGCTATGACAGCACAAGTCTTTACTTCCAGAATTTCAAGAGTCAGAGGCAGGTGGATCTCTGAGTTCAAGGACAGCCTGGTGGTCTATATGTGAGTTCTAGGAACAGCCAGGAGTACATAATGAGACCCTGTCTCAAAATATATATAAGTAAATCAGGCATGTTGTTTTACCTGTAACCCCAGCACTTGAAAGGCTGAGGCAGAACTGTTCTGAATTCAAGACAACCATGGGCTATATTATCAAGGAACGAAAAGCAAAGAAAGTGACAGTGAGGTGGGGTTTGAAGGAACTGTGTTAAGAGAAAAAAAGGATAGGTGTTAGTGTTTAATACAATATTTCGAAAGCATTTCTCGGTTGTCGATTCTGACAGTTTACCAAACCTAAGTTTAAGCCTTAAAACCAATTATTTGAAACTTCTCAATTGCAAAGCGGGTCGGAAGCAACTGCATTCAACCCTCTCATTCTTTCTGGCCGACATCCCTGACTCCAGCCACCCTCCGGTTTGCTGCTCCCACTGCGAGCCTCAGCTAACGCCTGGCGGTTTCCCTCGCTTCCACCGCTCACACAGCCGACCAAGTTGTCATTGCTATAATTACCACACCCCCGTCAGCAGCTCCAGGCCCGCGTAGTTATGACATCTGTAAACTGCAGCCTCCCGTCTCCACCCCCACCTCCCCCCAAACACCGACCCGGGCGGTAACCTGCCAACTCCCGGACCGGCCCCGCACGCCCGGGACCTCGGCCACCGCACTCCGCGCCGCTCGCCCCCGCCCTCCGGCTAGCCCGGCGCGCAGACTCCGCGCCGCCGCCCGGCGCCCCGCAGTCCCCGCCGCCGCTGCCACCGCCGCCCCGCCCCGACCGGCGTTCCTCACAGCGAGCACCAGCGTTCCCCACCCCCACCCCGCTTCTCCTTCGTCGCCGCCGCCGCCGCGCTGCCGTTAGGATCGCCGAGCCCGTGACGCACGGGAGCGACGCGAAGGTCCGGTCCCTGTCGCGTCAGCGCCAGCTCCGGCCGCCGCCCGCGTCCGCCTTCGCCCCGGGGCCTCCCTCGGGTCCGCCGAGGGAACCTAGTGCCGCCCGCCGAGGGGGAGGGGCCGCGGGGAACCCCCTCACTCACCGGCTCCTCCAGGCGACCGGTCCCGGTGCCACTGCGAGGGTGAGACGCGCGCTCTTCGCCCGCCCGCTGCGCCCCTTCCCGCACAACCTTGACCAGGCGGCGCGCACCACGGCGGCGCTCAGCAGGCCTCGCTCTCCGCTACCGCGCACCGAGCCGCGAGACCCAGCGCAGCCGGCGTGCGCAGTGCGCCTGCGTGCGGGGGCCGGCCCGCGCGCCTGCGTGCGCCTTTCCGCCGCCCGCCGCAGGGGCTGCCGGGAAGCGGAGTCTCCGAACGTTCTTCCCAGAGTGGACGTGCTAGGTTTGGAGAGGCCCGAGGGGGAAAAAAGCAGCGGCCCGAGGGGGAAAAAAGCAGCGGCCCGGGCTCTGAGTGGGTCTCTGAGGACGAGGTTTGCTGTCAGTAAAAGTAAAGACAGGTAGAAGTTATGTCCTAACTAAGCTCTTCTAGAATGGACGGCTCCCCCTCACATCTCCTTAGCTACCCTCTCACATGGTAGGTACCGCACCCGGAGCTTGCTTATTGGATGAACGATGGCATGGTTGGAGGCTGAGGGAGTATTACAAAATACGTCAGTGTCTCACGTTCAAAGAATTCGCAACTCGCCTGCCGGAACCTTCTGGGTATTCTCTTCAGCCCTCTCCCATTTTGCCTGGTAATTTATTAGTATCCTAAAACATTAAGAAATTAATTTTTGAGCCTGGCTTGATAACGCACGCCTGTGTTCCCAGAACTAGAAAGGTTGAGGCAGGAGAATGGCGAATTTTAGACCAGAATGGCTATGTAGGAAGACGTTGTCTCAATACTCATTTTTAGTTAAAAAAAAAATTGCTTTGACATGAGCAATTTGCTCTCAAACACACTGTTTAGAAAAAAATGATTATTTTTCTTTTGGGGAAGTTGAGTTGTGGATTCAAAAGACCACCTTAAGCCGGCCAAGCCGAGGTCACAGGAAAATCTCACACAAGACGTGGCTTAATGAGTCAGTTTAAAAGGCGTGTTGAGGAGCAACAGACAGTGTCGATACATTTATAAACGTAAGAAAGAGAGACCCCTCCGCAGTGCAATGTTCATTTGGCTTGGCTCCAGTGATGGTTTTAATAAACCTAACACAAACTAGAGTGACCTGGCAAGAGCGACCCTGAGTTGAAGAATGGCTCCTGTCAGATTGGCATGTGGGCATGTCTGTGAGACATTTTCCTGACTCATGATGGGCCCAGCCCCCAGTGGACAGTGCCACCCCTGGGCTGTAGAAGATAGCAAGTTGAGAATGAGTCACTGTAACCACGTTCCTCATGGTCTGTTCAGCTACAGCCTCCAGGTTCCTGCTTTGAATTCCTGCCCTGGCTTCCTTCAGAGATGTTCTGTAAACTGGAATGCCTGCCTCCAAGTTGCCTTGTTTAATGCTATTCAAGCAATAGAGCAAAGTAGAACAACCTCCTCCCTCCCATGGTCCTTCTTTCCCTTTCTTCTGACTCCTGTCTGCATCAGTAACCCCTTCTCCACTAACAGTGTGTTTATTACAATTAGAACTAAGTTTGAGTAAGGCAGTTGGGGAAAAAGAAAATGTTCTATGAGACTTAGGGCCAGTGTGCTGACTAGTTTTATGTCAACAATTTGACATAAGCTAGGGTCATCTGAAAGGAGGGAACCTCAGCTGAGAAAATTGAGCCTCTATAAGATCCAACTGTAGGGTATTTTCTTAATTAGTGATTGATGGGGGAGGGCCTGGCCCATTATGGGTGGTGCCATCTCAGGGCAGACGGTCCCAGGTTCTATAAGAAAGCAGGTTGAAGACGGGTGTGTGTTGCGCACCTTTTCCCCAGCACTCTGGAGGCAGAAGCAGGTGGATCTCTAGGATCTTTGTGAGTTTGAGGCCAGTCTGGACTACAAAGCGAATTCCAGGAAAGCCAGAGCTACACAGAGAAACCCTATCTCAAAAACAAAGAAAGAAAAAAAAAAGAAAGTAAAGAAAGCAGGTTGAACAAGCCAGTAAATAGCACTTTTCCATGGCCTCTGCATTAGCTCCTGCCCCTAGTGTTGTTTAAAAAAAAAAAAAAGCACGGGAGAGAAAGAAGCAAGTTCATATGGAAGGATTTTATTAGGGGAAAGGGAACGCAAAAAGAGGGAAGGGGAGTGGGGAGCCCAGCCAGCCTCTGGGGACAGAAGCAGAAGAGAGAGGCAGAGTGAGTGGAGTGGGAGGAAGAAAGAGATGGAAGGTGGGCAGTGCCCTTTTAAAAGGGAACTTAGTGAATGTGCACAGGAGGTGCTCTTAGTGGCTACAACCTGTCAGAACTCCCAAGGCAGGCCAGTACAGACAGAGATGCCTGATTACTAGCACCTAGGTTCATGCCCTGTTGGGGGTTTCTGTCCTGGCTTCCTTCAGTGATGCACTTAGATGTGGAAGTATAAGCCAAATAAACCCTTTCCTCCCCAATTTGCCCTTTGGTCATGCCGATCCACTGTAGCTATAGAAACCCTAATTAAGACCGGCAGGTATTCCTGACTGTAGCTGAGGTGATGTCTGATCATTATCAGGAGCTAAGACTCATTATTCAGAGTAGTCTTCATGGAGGCTGGTTTATTCCCTAATCCACCCTCAGTCCTAGGTAGATCCTTAAGAGTCCCAACCAAGAGTCACAGGTATCCACTAGGGTCTCTTCTCTTCGGCAGGGCCTTCTCAACCCCATGAGATAACCAAAGCTCTGCTTAGTGTCTTAGTTGTTGTTTGAACTCACAAAGATCTACCTGCCTCTGCCTCCTGGGTGCTGGAATTAAAGGCATGAACTACCACGCTCAGCCCATGAATAATCTTGTATATATACTATGTACAAGTAAACTGCCTGATGTGGGAGAGTCTTCTGTTTTGTGTTGATTTCATTGGTTAATAAAGAAACTGCCTTGGCCCTTTAATAGGACAGAAAATTAGGTAGGCAGAGTAGACAGACAGAATGCTGGGAGAAAGAAGTTGAGTCAGGCAGTTGCCATGATTCTCCCACCCGACACAGAAGCAGGTTAAGATCTTCTGGTAAGCCACCACCTCGTGGTGCTACACAGATTATTAGAGATGGGTTAATCAAGATGTGAGAATTAGCCAGTAAGAGGCTAGAGCTCATGGGCCAAGCAGTGTTTAAAAGAATACAATTTGTGTGTTGTTATTTCGGGTAAAGCTAGCTGTGCGGGAGCTGGGTGGCAGGAAGCGGCCCGCAGCTCCTTGCTACAACTGCCTTTTTAATTTAAAATGTATGTTTAAGAGTATTTTGCCTGTGTGTATGTATGTACGCCATATTGTGCATCTTCTGTGTAGAAGATGGGTACCAGATCCCCGGAACTGCAATTACTGACAGTTATTACTGCCATGTGAGAGTTCACATGTGCTGGGTACTAAGCCCAGGTTCTCTGCAAGAGCAGCAAGTGCCTTTAACCACTGAGCCATCTCTCCAGACCGAGGACACTACATCTTTAATATCATTAGATGTGGTAGGCAGAACTCTAAAATAATCTCCATGATCTCTGATTCTCGGTGTTGCTCTGTATAGTCCCCACCCCTTGAATAGGACCCCTTACTAATTCCTAGACAACAGATAGATCTAGGATTATAGAAGGCTTACTGTGATAACAGTTCATTTTGTAATACTTTGTGTATTATGGAACTAAAAATTCATGCTAGCCTTAAAGAAGCAATTTGTTGTCACATGCCTATAGAAGGCCACCTGGTTGGGCCTGGAGAGATAGCTCAATGGTTAAGAACACTAGCTATTCTTCTAGAGGACCCAGATTCAATTCCCAGCACAGACATGGCAACTCACAAACAACTGTCTGTAACTGCAGTTCCAAGGGATACAGCACCCTTACACAGATATTTACAGGCAAAACACCAGTGCATATAGTATCAAAAATAAATGGTTTTTTTTTTTAAAGGCCACCTGGTTGGGTCTATGGATGGCCTGTAGGACCTGAATAGCCTTTAGCTAGCAGTGAGAATCACAGGAAATGAACTCTGCTAACAGCCTGAGTGATCTCAAAAGCAGACCCTTCTGGACTTGAGCCTTCATACGTGAGGAACATGTATTTTATTGCCACTTTGATAGGCCCTGAACAGAGGATCCGGGTAAGCTGTGAACACTCTCTGGCCAAAGGAAACTAAGATAATAAATGGGTGTTAAACCACTAAGTTTGTGGTAACTCATTACATATCATTTGCAAACTAAACTAATACACTGGGCATTGCTTGGTTATTTCTCCAAGTTATAATCTACAGTTTATAAGATTCCATTTCTATGCATATTTGCTAATATTTGGAACATAAGTTTATAAACACTTATCTTTCAGCTATTTTCATCTATTTGTAAACTATTTTCATTTTATATATTTGTTACTTTTGCCTTTGTTTCATAGAAGTTTAAACCCAACTGACCAGATATCTGTGATACATTTTTTTGTTTGTTTGTTTTGTTTTTTTGAGACAGGGTTTTTCTGTGTAGCCCTGCCTGTCCTAAAACTTGCTCTGTAGAACAGACTGGCCTTGAACTCACACAGATCTGCCTGCCTCAGCCTCCTGAGTGCTGGGATTAAAGGTATGTGCTACCACCGCCTAGATACAATTTTACTTATTTATTTATTTTTGGATTTTCGAGACGGGTTTTCTCTGTTTGCCCTGACTGTTCTGAAACTAGCTTTGTAGACAGACTGGCCTTAACCTCACTGAGTTCCACATGCTTCTGCCTCCCAAGTGCTGGGATTATAGGTGTGTGCCACCACCACCCAGATGGATGCAATTTTAAAACAAAGGAATAAAAAAAAAAACCTAAAGGTCGAGAGTGAGAAGATACCTCAGTCAGTAAAATACTGGCCACTAGGGTCTGAGGACTTCAGTTCAATCTCCAGCATCCAAGCAGAAGGTCAGGTAGGTTGCTACAGGCTTTGAATCCCAGTTCTGGGGCAAAGACAGGTGGATCCCTAGGATTTGCTGATCACCCAGTTTGGCCTTTTTGGCCTAGTGACCTAATCAGCATGCCCCAGAACCCACTGAGAAGCTTTATCCCAAAAAAGGGAGGGAACGAAGGAGAGAGGGAGGAGGGAAAACAAAGCCAAGGTGTATAGCACTGCTGAGGAACCATCATCTGAGGTTGCCCACATATGTGCACATATGTGGGATTGGAGGCACACTCC